TTTATTTCCTATTGTCGAGCTCTGGGCCTGCAAATATCCTGGGCACAATCATGCTCTTACTTAAGGCTGTGTGTCTTCTGCCAGAGATTTCAATGGCAGTGTGATCAGACATTATGTGTGCACAGTTATAAAACATTTTATTATTGTTCGTATAGCCACTGGGAGGGTTGGCTGATACTAATTATATCTGTTACCTAATGTCTCCTTAAGAACTTTGCAGCTAGAGACTGTCATAACTTCAGTGCATTGCCAACTTTAATGTGCCCCAAAGCTTTCAGTTAGGAAAAAACAAGCTTTTAGATAACCTAAAACCAATAGAAATAATTACTTGTTATTTAAAAATTTCAACTGTTTTCCGACCAATACACATTTCCTTGCAACATTTGAAATCAATACACTGCAAGCACTTGCAATCTAAAATAATATAAAGAAAAGTGAAATTGACCTCATTGCTTTGATTGTTATATGTAGTTTTCAGTTGCCTGTGTTTTTCAAGTGCTGGCATTCTCTGATGTCCTACTTCAAACAAATTCATAAGGTACATGGCACAGCACTACATTAATTTTCTATTAAACTGCGCACAAATATTTATTTGACATAAATATGATACTAACTTGGGTCCTCACATTGCATTCATGTAGCTCAGGGGTGGCCAGCCTAAACTTGAGAAGGAGCCAGAATTGACCAACGCACATTGCCAAAGAGCCACAGTTACGTGTCACCAGCCCATATCATCTCCCCACCACCACTCTCAGCACATCCCACCCACTGGCAGCCCCACCAGTCAGTGCCTCCTTCTCCTCTTCCTCCTGCCCAGTGTGATCAGCTCTTTCTCAGTGGGAGATGCTAGAGGGGTGTGACAGGCTCAGTGGAGAGGGCAGGAAGTGGCAGGATTCTAGGGAGAAAAGCTGGAGGAGGCAGCGCCTAGGGCAGAGCTGGGGTTGAACAGCGAGCATCCTCTGGCCCAGTGAAAAGTTAGCACCTGTAGCTCCAGCCCTGGATTTGGTGCCTATGTAAGGAGCCGCATATTAACTTCTGAAGAGCTGCATGTAGCTCTGGTGCTGTAGGCTGGCCATCTGATGTAGCTAGACCCCAAAATCTAGGAGCATCACCATGCTCTCATTTTTTGCCTGCACTGATTTCCTGTCCCTGAAAAACTCTCCTCTCCCTCTCCTCTTCTTTAACTTAAACACTTCTTCTCAGGGGTGCACATTAAGCCAACCTTTTAAACCACAGGATCACTTTTTCAATTTAAGTGCAATGTAAGATCTACCTCAAACCCAAATCCTCTTGTCCCAACTCCTTCCTGTCTCTTCTTTGAGGCTCTGCCTCTTCTCCACACCTACTCCAAGGCCTCACCCTGCTCACTCCATCCCCCATCCTCACTTACTTTCACCAGGCTGGGGTAGGAGGTGCAGGCTGTGGTCTGGGGCCAAGAATTTTGGAGTGTGTGAGGGGCTTTGGGCTTAGCCCAGAGTGCGGGATTGGGGTCCAGGAGGAGTTTCAGGGTGCAACCTCTGGGAAGGAGTTGTGGTACAGGGGGACTCATGTCTGGGGCAGGAAGTTGGGTGCAGGAGGAAATTCAGGGCTAGGACAGGGGTTCAGGAAGCAGGCTCTGGCTGGGCGCCGTTTAACTGAGATGGCTTCCGGGTGATGGAGCAGTGGAGTTAAGGCAAGCTTAGTCCTGTCCAGGGCTGGCCCACAACATTTTGGTACTTGAGGAGGGATAGCCCAGAGTGCGGGATTGGGGTCCAGGAGGAGTTTCAGGGTGCAACCTCTGGGAAGGAGTTGTGGTACAGGGGGACTCATGTCTGGGGCAGGAAGTTGGGTGCAGGAGGAAATTCAGGGCTAGGACAGGGGTTCAGGAAGCAGGCTCTGGCTGGGCGCCGTTTAACTGAGATGGCTTCCGGGTGATGGAGCAGTGGAGTTAAGGCAAGCTTAGTCCTGTCCAGGGCTGGCCCACAACATTTTGGTACTTGAGGAGGGAAGCTCAAATGATGCCTCCATGCCCCCTCGCTGTACCAGCAGCAAACACAATTTTCTACACTCTGAGTCCTAGTGGCACCCCTGCCACAGTCTGGCCATCTCAGTTCACCTCATGGTAAGGCCAGCTCTGCTCATGCCCTGGCCCTGCACCACTCCTGAAAGTAGCTGGCATGTACAGCAATGGCTCTGTGGTGCCACATACTGCCCCTCATCTACAGGCACTGAGCCTACAGCTTCTACTGGCCACGGTTCCCCATTACTGATTAATGGGAGCTGCAGGAGTGGTGTCTGCAAGCAGGATGGCATGTGGAGACCCCCTGCTCTACCTTTCTCAGGGGCTGCAGGGACATGTCATCCACTTTCAGGAGCAGCAGTTACCACAGGGATAAATACTCCAGCCACAATAGGTTAGGCATTTTAGAACTCACTACTCAAAGAACTAAATGTAAGCGTAAGAGAAATGAAAATTATGAAATGTACAGACCAATCAAAACCCAAAAATAACACACTTTGCAAGCAGTAAAAGAAGTAACAACCACCCACGTATGTATTGGGTCGGGAGATGAGAGTGAAGGACAGTGTGTGTGTGTGTGAGAGAGAATGACAGAGACACACGCAATGTATCAGACTGACAGAGATTTGCATTGACAAGCTCCGTCCATCCCCTGCTCTCTGTGTGCAGAAATGGGGAGGGAAGAGGAACACCCTGACATCAATGCCCTCACTCTTCTCCCTTCCACACCCTGCACAGCAAGTAGGAGGCTCCCAGGGGGGCAGCTCCAAGGCAGAGGGCCGGAGCAGTATGGCAGTGGGTGGAGGGGCAACTGAAGTGCCAGTGCTTGATAGCTTCCTGGACAAACCATTCAGGATCACCTGTCAGAGGCTAAAAGATCTACCGGTAGATCCTGATCTACTGGTTGGTGACCACTGCATTAAGCTGATTTTGTCAGCCTGCCTTTATTCTTCCCTAACATCTTGGCATTGAACCCTGCAGTGCTGCACAGAAGTGTTTGGGAGTCCCAGTCAAAATCTGAATCTGAGCCCAGTCACACCCTTCCAAAAAATAACCACTGAGGGGACTGAGAGATCAAGCCTGCCACTAATTCACCCCATAATGGCAGTTCCTGTGCTGTGGGGGCTGGTCTTGGCTTCCCACTGTGGATGGTGCAACCTGGATAAAAGGACGCAGGGCCACTTGCATTCGGCCTGGCTGCTTCTCTGATATGACAGCGAGGCCAAATTGTCGCAATGTCACTGGGGCCCTATCAAACAAGCTGTCCTTTGAGGAAAACTTGGCTTTTGCCCTCTCCTGTATAGTGGTACATAGGAGCAGGAATTGGACCACTTACCACAGTCATCCCAGTTAAAAACATAACATCTCAGCTCCGAACATAAATTGAAAATATCTGATTTCTTGTCTAAGAATGCTGAGTACAAAAAACCCATTCTTTCTTCCAAGTCAGGAGGGGAGCTAATACTTTGAAAATAAAAACTGTATGTCATGGTAAATGCCTGCCTACATCTCTGCAAGCCTTGAACTGACTATTTTGGAAAGATTTGGAGCACACATGAAAGAGTACATAGAAATCAGCCTGGCACTTTTCACTACCTTTGAAGTAAAAAAAAAAAAATCGTATTAGTCATTCGGCTTGTTTCTTTTTCAATACAACTCAGACAAGCATGTTAATTTTAGGGTGTTAATGGCTTTCTTCTGTGCGGGGGAGGTTGGCTTTTTTTTTTTTTCTTAATTGAGTCTTTTAGAGACAGCCACACAGCTCAGAGTCGTGGTTGACCCAGCAGTTCTGAAGTTGAGGGAGCAGATCTTAGCCTTAGCATCCGGCGTGTCTGCTGCTGGTGCTGGACGAGGTCGGACTATTTACGTCCTGTCACTACAGACGCCAAGTCTTTCATGCGCCGATGACTAGAAAGATGCAATGTGCGAGCGGCGGCTCCGCCCCTTTCCGAGCGGCGAGTAGCTGCAGCCGCCCTAGCGGGGAGGGGGGCCTGGCTAAGGCGGGGCTTTGCACAGGAGGGAGCCTGAACAGAGGCAAGCAGGCAGACAAGAAGTTAGCTCTATGCCTGAAACAGGGGGTGACCTCCTCTTAAGAATTAAGGTATAATCTTTGACTCCTTCCCCTCCGTGGCTCCCCTTGCCCGGCTATGCACTGGGCTCGAGGGGGTGGGCAGCCCGCTGCACGTGCGAACTGACTTGGGCTGTTCCTTTCAGCGCTCAGAGACCTTCCTGGTGCAGGTTGCCCGTTCTGGGGCGGGCTTGTTAATGGATTTATCTGGCTGCTGCTGGACAGCCCGGTCACCCGCGGGGCTGGAGCCCTGGCAGCTCGTGTGGCGCTTCTTGTCAGCGCCCTTGGGGGAGTTCCCCCCACCCGCGAGGGGCTGCGCTGATGCAAAGGGCACAGCGCACGTGTGCCGGGGTGCTCAGAGCTGCCCGTTTGCTGCTGGGCAGCGGGCGTGCCACGGGCAAACCACACCAGTTGTGGTGGTACAGCCCCCTCCCCCCATCTCTTGGCTCTGACAATGGTGCAACAAAGCGGGTTCGGGATCAGTGTGGTCACGGTGCATTGCAACCCGGGGACCTGGCTACGAGGGGTCCCGGACCCAGCCAGCGGGGCGCCCAGCACCCGTAGATGCTGCAGAGAGGGGTGCTGCAGAGGCACCCCCCGGCTTGAAGTGGATTCCATATTTACAGGGACGGGGTTACACTTTGGTTCCTCAGCACGCCCACTATCCCTGCTGAGCACCCGGCTTGCTGGGCTGCTGCCGATGGAGCTGGCCCACCCCGCACTTGTTTCCACTGTAAAGCTCCAGTTGCTGGCTGGGGACTGGCCTCTCCTGACCGCCCCCTGAGTGACAACTCCGCACGCCGCTGCCAGAGAGGTACTGCCCGCCCGTACCACATCCTCTCTCTCAACCTGTCCGAGAGGCGCCTCTCGCTGACATCATGGAAACACCCGCCCTCCCCAGACTGGCCTGGAAGGCGGGCGCTAGCGCGCCTTCTTTGCTTGGCCCAGAATAGAGATTCTCTTTGGTCAGCCCGACTGTCAATCAATGAGGTGAAGCCCGCCCGCTTTGGAACCTCCTTCGGAATCTAGAGAGCCGAAGAGCCGGTCCGTCGGCTCCCAGCTCCAGCCGGCACCCAGGTGGAACCGCTGAGTTCATGATTTTGGTTGCCATCCCCGCCCACGTCCTTTTAGCCTGGCGCCTGTAGCGGCTGTTTAGAGAAAAGAGCTGAGCTGCTTGCGTCTACCCGGGGAACCGCTGCTGCCTCGGAGTTTCCATTAGCCCCGCTGCTGCCTGCGGGTAAGGTGCTCAGGTAGGTGCCCGGCTCCCCCACCCCGCTGTGAGTCCGCGGGGAGTCAGGGATCTGGCCGGGGCTTGGCTCCCCGGCCGCTCTGGGGAGTGTGAAGGGACCTGGTTTCTGTCCTGAGCTGTTTGGCGTCCCTGGGGTAGGGGAGGTGCTGTCCCTCAAGGGTCTTCCTGGGTCTTCTCTCGGGGACGAGAGCTGAGTCGGGTGTGAGGTGTTGCTAACCATGACACTCACTGTCCAGTGAAGAGGCTGCGAAATTTGCAAAGGCACCAAGAAAACTTTGTAACAAGAACGTGGCTTTTAAAAACAGCTATAGGCACACGGTTCAGTGTGAGGCAGTGGGGAATTAAGACTTGAGAGAAAAGAACTGGCCGGGGGTCACCACTTAACGCTCAGCCTTCATGTCACTGCTTGGTAACCTTAGTATGGCGGGGTCTGTCGGCTTGAGGCTGCGAAATTTGCAAAGGCACCAAGAAAACTTTGTAACAAGAACGTGGCTTTTAAAAACAGCTATAGGCACACGGTTCAGTGTGAGGCAGTGGGGAATTAAGACTTGAGAGAAAAGAACTGGCCGGGGGTCACCACTTAACGCTCAGCCTTCATGTCACTGCTTGGTAACCTTAGTATGGCGGGGTCTGTCGGCTTTCCTGTAAGTTTCAGTGCAAATGTCTGAAGACGGTGTAGAGAGTGTTCCCTCTTGTGAACTGAAGCTATAATGGGTTAGAGTAGTTCTAATCTATGGAGAATTTTGACTTACTATAAATAAAACACATTACCCTCTCAGTCTATGTATATTCTGCCCATTCTAAAGTGTCCTAAAATGAAATAGGATTTAGCTACCCATCTAGTCATCTCTTGAAATCCGTTGAGATCCGTGGATGTGCTGTTACAGTAGTAGAGTATTTTGAGTACACAATTTTAAAATAGCCTCTCTTTGCTTTGAATTGTGTGCTATTCAGGATTTTTATTTATTAGTTGTGTTCAGGGTGTTTTCTTTGTGGTGTTGAAATTGACCTAATTTTAGATTAATTGGTATATTAAGCATCTGTTGCTAAAACATAAGCCTGTATCAATTACTAAGTCTTCAGGGTTCAGAGGTGAATTTCCCAGGAGTCATTCAGCAGGGAGCCACTGCAGATTTTCCCCTCTTGCTGTGTGCTTTGGAAAACATAACTAGAGGCCAGCTGGCTGCTAAATGTAACTTCAGAGATCTTGAGGATATTTGCCAGTGCTTCACTCTCAGCTGATTCTTTTATTCTCTTTAGCTGTATAAAACAAAAACTGCCATAATTTTTCTTCACTCTTGTCCCCCATCTTTAAGAGAGTAGGTTAGTTAACTCCAATTATTTCAGTACAGTTTTCAAAGCCAGTGTAATTTCAGGACTTTGAGTCCAAATTAGTAAATGAGCAGTAAGTATTCTGTTGCATGAAATCCATCTGGTACTCCTGGCTCATGCTTGCTGACTTTCAGTAGTTTAATATTCTTCACCATGTGGAATATGTCTGTAAAAGGATATTTAACAGCATCCATCTTTTCCTTCCCCTAATTATGGTAAGGGTGCTGTTTGGCCAAAGGGGTGTGAAAAACTATTTGTTTCATATAATATATTAAATATTTCTGATTAACCACAGAGTTTGTAATGTAATTGACCCACCTGAATTTCAGCAGCACATGTAGGCTTCATTCAGCATTTAAAGCATAAGAAATATCCCAGGGCAAACAGGAAACTAAAATTTTAGTTTCTGTGAGTTTTAATATAATTCCTAGGTTTGAAAAATGTAACAATTTTATTAAATACTTACCTTTTTAAAAAAAAGTCCTTACTAGAATAAGAGAGAGAGTCATGTAGTTTGTGTTAAATGAATTGGTTGAATGTTCTGTAACTAGATTTCACCAGTCAAGTAGCAAGAGTGAAACATCACAAGCCCTAGCAGAGCCTTCCCATGGAGTCACAGACAGGCCCCTGCGGCACTCTGCCTTCATGGTAGTTGGTCCCTTGCATAAAAAAGTCACAGGAATATTCAGGTTACTCCAGATCCCAAAGGACAAGTCATTTACCCCAGGTCAGTGGTGCCTCAGATCACTCATCAAAGCCAGTTCTTCTAGCCAATCGTGTAATTAACAAAAGATTTATAAAGTCATGAGTTATTTACAAGGTTAAAGCAACACACACATGACTTACAATCTTAAGATTAAACAAGATAGTAACTTCTATAATAAGCAAACTCCCTATGTCCTCTTGGGTTAACCTGGAAAGGCAGGAGGTGATTTGCTTATGCTTAGTGATTTTTTGCCCATTTAGGATGTCTGTATTGCAATCTGTGGTTGGCCCATGCCAGCTGACTTGGACTAATGGGCTGTTTTAATTATGGTGTAAAGATTTGGGCTTGCTGAAGCCTTGGCAATGGGCCCTTGTGAGGTGGGAGGATCCTGCAACTCAGGCTGCAGCCCAAGCCTAAATATCTATACTGCAATTAAACAGCCCCTTAGCCTGAGTCAGATGGCATGAGCCAGCTGCAGGTGTCTAATTGCAGTGTAGACATATCCTTAGAGTCCAAGCAGCCAAAAGGAATCCAGTTTCTCCTTACTGGAGATTTTCATCCCTTCCTCTCCTCCCACACTTAAGATGATGTGATGAGTTCATGAACAAGTTTCTTCCTGGAGGGGCTATATGTAATTAACATTTGTCTTTGTCTCCCACAATGGCTCATTGGGTTTCAAAGACCACCTAGTTAGGCAGAGCCTAAAGTCTTCTGGCGGAAGCCAGCATTTGCATTAGTGAAGGCTTCTATCCTCTTTGAGTTCCACAGTTCAAAGTTTACAATGCAAACACTACACTGTGGCTTACCAAGCTCACAAGCGAGATCAATATGATGTGGTGTCCTATATACTAAACACATTTGTATCATCTTACAGTGTTGTTATGCTGGTTTCCAGCTCTGCATTGGTTGGTGTTCAATGAGGCCTGGGCATGAGCTGGCACTAGGTCTGCCCAGACCCAGAACAAGCAGGCCATGGTTGTGAATTGTGAGCTAACTACCAAAGACAGGAAACACTGTTGAGAATGGAGGGGGGAGGAGGGTATTTAGTACAATGATTAATATATAGTTAGTTTTGTGCAGCACTTTGCAAATGCAACACAATATATAACTGCTAGGTATTTGATATTTGTCTTCTCATTAGAGCTCCGGTAGTTAAAAGCATATGTGTATAAACAAAGTACACTTCAGTAGTAGGCCTCCCCTACATTACTTTGCTGTATTATATGTACTTTTGTTGCATACTATCTAGAGAACAGATTGAAAAGTTACCTTATTCTCACAGGTTTAGATTTCATGGATCCTAATTGCAAAAACTGAGTTCTCAGTTGCTGCAGTGTTATTAGCAGTTTATATATTAATTGGCATTTGAGTATCAAGGTTTCTGTTGGTGTATAGCAATTAACCTTTTAGCTAAATTTCAGCTTGCTGTGGTATTCAGTTCAAAGGACTGCTGTGATGGATATGGCTGCAGTAGGTTATAAAATTATCCTTTTTTCTTGTGAGACACTTATTAATTTCACCTGGGGCCACTAAAGACCATTAAAACTTTTGCCGTGTATTCTGTGGCGCTAGAATCTGATGCCTAATTGACATACTCATGGTAAAGACCTAGAAACTCCACTGTGTATATGTAGTAGTTGTGTGGTTGCTGTATGCACTGTTAAAGTAAAGGGCCTTATGATTAGACCCTGTTTTCCATTCATAAGCTGCCTTTGTTCAGGGTTTTAGGGAAGGTGCCTCATTGTGTGATCTAATGCTGAACTAGATTGGACAAAACAGTAGCTCATGCTCTGTTTAAGGACCCAGGACCCATGTCTGCAACATGGATTGTGCTCTGTAATACAAGCTTCCACTTTTTAAGAAAGTGGTTGCAGAGGAATCTTTTTTTAAAGCATGAATAAAAAGTGATAAATTAGCCATTCTCTGTAAGTACAGATAACTTGAAATGGTAGCTCAAATGTGAAATGTTCAAGGCATTTCAAATTGGTGTTGCCTCTGAAGCTTAAAGAGGACAAATTGAATGTCCACTTAAATATTTCAGTGTTGTTCATTCTAGTTTCCTGTTAGTGTACATATTCTAGAATTCCATACTGCTTCTCATGTACCAAGAACCCAAGCTATCTCCTAGGCACCTGCCAAAAGTTTCAGCTTCCCTGATGGACTGAATTCTAGGAAGCAGTTATATTTTTGTGATGACCTTGGAAAATAAAAGATTTGGTGATGCATTCAATGTAGTTTACAAGCTAATAATTAAAATGGAGTTACACAGTACTAATGGTTCATATCTAATTTAAGAAAATACTTCATTTATATTAAAAAGCAACTAAAACCTCTAGTCTATTGTACCAGAGTGACATAGATTCTAGGTCCAATTTGACATAGAGTCCACAGGGTCTTGCCCACAGAGAACAATCCTACACTGACAAAGAAATGAACTGGCCATCTAAGAGGTCTCTCTCATATTTCATTTCAGGTGAGTTTGTAACTTGGCATACAACTGCCCAGACTGGAACTAATTTGTCTCTTACAAAATGTTACCATACTAAAACTTAGCTGGCTTCGTACTTTGTCAGTTACATATGGTTTGTTTTATTTTATATAATGTATATAAAACCAAGCCCTTCTGGTTTTAGGAAGGGGTATATTTTTCAGATTGTGGCATTAGACTTGTGCAACTAATCATTTGTGGTGGAGTTGTTTACTTTCAGTCAGCTCTGTGGTATGTTGGGATTTAAAGAGGAAACTTAAAATAATAGCCTCTCTGCAGTGGAGGAAGGGGGTGTATATGTGTTAATATACAAACAAAGACAGAAACTTGGTTAAATTACCTTGGAGCACCTAGATTGATATACAAATCAACAAAAGTAAAAACTGGGATGTTAGTGATGAGTGTGCTATGAGAACCTAGGCAAGACAGAACTGAAAATATGCCTCTTAGTTGGCCTGATCCTGAGATGTTGTAT